CTTCAAACTACCATCACCCAACTTTATGTCATATTCGACCCCTTCCGCAGTTCTCATCTTACCTTTTTCTCTGCCTTTGTGTCTTTCTGTCTCTTTTATACCTGTGAATCATTATTCTGCCCCCCCTCCCTCTCGACTTTTTGTCAGTTTGATGTTCCTCTTTCTCACTGTGAAGCCAGAAGTCAACTAATGGGCTAATGATAACTATCAAGACGCCTGCCATTTGAAATAAACAAATAATTATGAAAGTATATAGATTAAAAGTGAAAAATTACTGATGTTGGCAGTCGAAATCGTTTCAAACTTTAGCCTTGATTAGAACTTCAAGTAATTTGTAATGCAAGTATTCGATGAGGAGATTTTTTTCCAACTGCCTAGCCTAACAGATTGACCACTACGTCGCTTAGTAAAACTCATTTTTGTGCACCAGTAAGGAATCGTTCATTTTGCCAATAGATATTCAAGTTCAGTTTGTGTCCATGCACAGCAATGGAAACAACACTGCAAGTCACTCTTTATTAATAGGAAAAAAATCATCATTTTATTGCTACGGGAAGCAATGTCCACCTCTCAATGCGGAGACAGAACACGTCAGACAGACAGACAGTGCATACAACTTACCTTTCGTAAGGACTTGCATATCTGCTAGCCACAGAGCCATGGCTGAAATTTATGCTCAAGTGTTTACAATTCATCAGTGGGGATTTTAGTTAAGAAATTTTAACTCGGAAAAGTAGGAATTTAAATGCCTTGCCAAAATGAGGACGACGTACAACCTTTCTTGTTGACGCATGACAATCCCTAGTTGGATGAATTATCGCAGAAACTCGCATTCCCTATGGCCAGCTGTGCAATAAGTAAATTGTGTTGGGTTTGACTCAGGGTGTCATCTTATCAAATTAGACAGAATTGCATTTATTTGTTCGCCATGACAAAGAACTCGCCCTATACAACATCTAATAGTTACTAGGATCGATAAGTGGATCGTTTTTAACAATGTTATTGGGGAAAAAAACAATGTTTTTTTTCCAAATCAAGCGCGAATTGCATCTCTTAAGTCAAAACGAGGATGACCTTTGAAAAGTTATTACATGCACTGCCATTACGAAGAGCTTAAACTGGATGACGTAGACTAAGTTTATATTTGTCAACAATTTGAAAGACAAAACCAAATATTTGCCCGTAATGCCAGATTGGTCTCACAATGCAAGAATAACTTCTATTCACCTTACTTATTCGTTAGATCTACCCCAATCATAAGATTGCCTTTATAGATTCACGTAGAATACTCCAAGAGAAAACGACTTCGAAATACAACTTGAGCAGAAAAGCGCTTCAATAAGTAGGAATAGGTAAACTAAAAGAGCAGCACAAAAGAAATATTTTGACTGAAAATAAATAACATTGTAATGAAGTTTTTTTATTAAATGAGCGCTTTCCAATTGGTACCTCTAAAACAAGGAACTAAGGCAAGTCAATTTAAAATTGCGGCGAAAAACTTTACATCAAACTTATAAATATTCCACTTTATTCCCCTCGATTGCTGTTAATTGAGATGTACCTGATAAATAATTAACAAGTATCTTTTGTTTAAAAATGAAAGAAGACTCTCACCCCCCCTCTCACAATTAAAAGTGGTAAAATATTTGAAATTTTAATGTGCACTTCACAAATGAAAATACTTGATGTGTTGAATTATTTAAAATGGGCTTCTGTTGACAGAAGCAAAAAACGCACGCATTTGACAATAGGAAAAATTTGTTAATACCCCCTAGAAAACTTTTTCAGTTAAGCTATATTTCCAAACTGGAGTGCGAGATTGACTTACCTCCACGTGGTGCACCCTGGGCGACGTATACTCACACGGCAAAAAAGTCTACCATGACCCCACTGTATGTCATATTCTACCACTTCCACAATACTCACTTTACCTTTTTCTCTACCTTTGTGTCTGTCTCATTTACATCTGTTAATCACTCTTCTGTCCCCCCCTCTTCTGTTGTGACTTTGATGCTCCTGCCCTCTATGAAGCCAGAAGTCAACTAAAGGGTTAATGATAACTATCATAAAGCCTGCCATTTGATATAAATAAATATTTCCAAATTGTACATCAGATAAATCCGTTTTATGCTTAAACTAAGTGACCTATTTTAGTGATTTATCTTTTGGCTTTGGTCATCTTACTATCTCATTTTTAAGGGTTTTATTTATGACGTAGTACCTGATTCAATTCCTGTCAGTTCTTTAGTACCCGTGCCAGGAGTTCTACTCTTCTACTCAACTATTTTATTATCTCTTCTCATCCTTTGTCAAATCCATTAGAGACTCTGACTACGGTCTCTTTAAGTTGAAATAGTTGAACGAATCAGTAGTTCGACCATTTTGAATATTTAACTGGCATCCTCAAAGTTTGAATCCACGCATTAACTTAAACAAATAAATTTACGCTTGGAGAGGGTCACCTCTGCAAAAGAAGATTGGGAGGGTGTAATTGAGTTTATCTCAGTTATTTAAGAAAGAGAGCCTACAGTAAGCTACCCAGATATCAAAGTTCATTTATCCGGTCAAATTGGGCAAAAGGGCGAATGATCCATAGCCTATTAAGCGTTTGCATACCGAGTACACTTGATAACGATATTCAACAAAGCCGATTTACATATTGAATTAGGACTAATGATATAACTTCTAAATTTTTGAGTCAAAGAACTCTGAATTGGTGATAGTCATATCACTTACTATCCACGTTTTCCCAGTTCTAGGTTAATATTACGACCGCATATTAAGTGAATATGACAAAACCTATTCAACCATTTCCATTGTACTCGAGGGACCTTCGTAAGCTTAATCTCTCGCGCACTTGATTATTGATTATCGGTTTTACACTCAAATACCTCAATATGTAAGGCCTCCTATTGAGGCAATTATTGGCTAACCAGACAAAATTTTTATTTTGTCCATATGGGGTTCGATTTAGATAAATTAATTTCCTTGAGAGATAACCGTTGTTGGAGCTTAGCGTCTTTTCTCTTCACCTCCAATGTGCTTGAGTAGCTTTAGCATTAAAAAAGGTATTTGTGGGATTTATAAATTGAGGCATATCATTATGAATGGCAAAATTGCTTGATCCCACTATCATAGATTAATGATTAAATACCGCTAAATTGGTTTCGAAAATTATTAGCCTACGCAGTTAACACGATTTTAAAAGCAAGGCAATCAAGCCACCTTAATATCAGACAACTTATAGCGCGAAGTGTACAAACAGTTACTCTGCGACATTTCGCCAAGTCGGTTTCAACCCCCCCCCCCCCCCCCCCTCAAGATTCTTGGAAGGTAAAAGCACTCTGTGTTTTGGCATTTAGCTCATCCCCACTCGCTCACCCTTACAAGAAGAGCGAGCGAGAGAGAGAGAGAGAGTACATCCTTGGCTAGAACCAGCAACGCGATTACCTGATTGGCTTGCTCTCCACCGCGTTCTGATTGGTCTTGGAGGCTAGAAGCATTGGTTGCTTTGCCAGTTGCTGTGTCTTTCCGGTGTGTTCGCTTACAAATAACAACCCAGGCTTAGAACACGACAATGCTGCAGGACCAATTTATTACCTACGCCTTCAACTTGGCATGGTAAAAACACAATGGAAAATTTGTCCCCTTTCACCTCGGCCACATCTACTGCATCTACTAGTAATACTACTAATAGTGTCAATCCGGATACCACTTCCAGTGAGAATACTACTATTTTAGCGAGAGCCCTCTTTGATAATACCGCGGAAGTAGCTCAGGAACTCACATTTACTCGTGGGGATGTACTCACTGTGCTTAAAAAGGACCCGCCAGGGTTTGAAGGATGGTGGATTTGTAGTTTAGCTGGAAAAGTTGGAATTGCACCCGGAAATAGGCTTGAAATTCTGGGATCTGTAAAAGTATGTCCAAATCAGTTCATGCAAAACCAATATTTATTGATTATTTTTAATTGCTTACTTATTTAATTTTTATTATCCCTATTAAAGTGAAGTTTATTTAATAATATACAATATTAAGGTATAATATATTCACAAAAGGTTGAATTTACGACACTATTTTGACAGATTAATTGTCATCTTTTGCTCCTTATTTACACCTTTAGAATCCATAATTTTTAATCTTCTTAAAATATTGTGATCGATTTATCGATAAACCAAGATCTTGATAAATTTCTAATAATCGAATCGAGCAAAATCAGATTCTTTTAACTTTGCGAAATGGAAATTATTTACGTTTTTAAATTGTACAATGAAATTTTGTCTTAAAATATTACAATCAAAAGCAACACTATCATTGCAAGGTGTTCAGTTGGTTTTCGATAAATTTTAATTTCAATTATTTGAAGCCTTTTTTCTAATTTTTTCAAGGAAGAAACATCTGGACAAAGTAGATTTGAAAAAGCAAAGCAGTCGGCCGGTTTTTGGCTTTAAACAGTTACAAATAAAGCTAGGAATAGGCGAGTGTTGCTTATTAACTTGAGAAATTAAATGTAGAATTGGAAAGTACGTTCGAGAATGTCTCTGACAGTTGTGGCTTGTTTCAGTCTAAAAATAGCAAACGCTGCGTTGTAAAAATAGGAAACCTTAATCATTTTTAATGCCGCCTGTTTATTTATATTTATTTCCCATTTGCATAAATTTGGTAAGAGTGAATTGCCAATGAGACACCATTACATGCTTTTAATGGGGCTATCACAGAAATCCAATTTTGATGTTACTCAATGTTACGTTAATTATTTTGCCTAAAATTTTCAATGAAGCGTTCATTTAAGAACAGATCATGGTTTGTAAACCCTATCTGCACAAGAAATAAATATAGTTATTAAAAATAATTCATTCTCGTTCAATGATTTAATGGTTATAGAAGTATAAGCATTCTGCAAGAAATTTGATTGAGACTTCTAAAACAGCATTTCCCAATCAGTTTTCATTTGCTTGAACGAAAACGAAAACCAGATTTTCGCAAATAACAACCCTTATTTTTTATTTTTTTGCCTTTTATTCACATCGATAGAATGTAATTTTTGTCTTTCTTTCCTAAGATGAGATTTAATTTACCAGATTTAAAAATTCATAAATTTTTATCCTTAAATGAGTTCCTCTTGAAGTGAATGATAATCTGTTTTAAAACATTATTCCTGGGAATAATACCATCAAAAGCATGCAAAGCGGAACCAAAGTATAAAATGGCTTTATTTGGCTATAAGAGGTTATAAAACTGGAGTTCATGTTGCTACCTATTTAGAAAATGTTCTTCATATGGAAATGGGAATTATGAGTTAAGAGATTGCAGTTTGAATATTATCCTACATATGGTTAAACAGTGTCTACTTGTTGCATCAAGTGAATTATCATCAATATGGACTACAAATCACACCACTCAATCAATACCCTTTCTTACATCTGCTCTCTCTATGCATCCATAATCGCCCTCCCTCTCAGCAACAGAAAGTAAACAACCTTGAATACAACCAATCATCCTAATGAGCAGAAATCAGGTCGGAAATGAGAGTACCAATAATTTACCTATTTACTCAACATTTATTTTAGATTTAGTTAAATCTAACTTTAAAATTTCAGAAACAATTATTCGATAAAAAGAAACCTTTTTTCAAAGAAATAATCTTACCTATATTTTTCCCTTTGTTTCATCGTTTAAACTAATAAACCACTTTATTGGTTGAAAAGAAATTCTGGAGGTAGAATAACAATTAGTTGTAATTTGTACTTTTTAAGGAAGATCATTTTAAGTATTTTGATAAATATTGCACATCTAAATAGAAATGAACCGTTGAAGGCAGTGAAATGTGTTCGATGAATTTCTAAAATCTCACTTTATTATTGCAGTCCAATTAATTCATCACTTAATTCCAGAATGACTTATTGTTCCTACCTCTCTCAAGGTCACTTGAAAGTCTGATTAAGTTTAGACTTATCACATTGGTTAATTCATGATGACCGAAAATTAGGCAAAATGCGATTTATTCTTATGATGGGCATTTGAACCCTAAATTTAAACCTTATCTTCATCTCTTCAAATTGGCTTAGGAATTTTTTCACGATTTATGGGATAAACTGCCTAATGGCGTTAATGAATAAATAATAACCAGGGCAATAAATTTCGTCATTAATTGACACATATAATGAAATTATATGCCAAAAAGTCTATTATTGATTTTAGATTAGATAATTAATGTAAAAAAACCAATTTTCAATTAGAACTTTTAAGCTAGTCATTTTATTATCTGCAATAGTACGTTTTATAGAAGCTATTAAATCTTTTGTATAGGACAATACTTACAGCCTTTGTTAAATGCAGTAGTTCGAAATAAAATTCATTTCCTTTTATTAATAAGGTTTATTAGAAGTCAGTTAGCTATATAAATTGAAATACAATGATATTGGCACCTCTTGAAATCTTTAAAGAAATTAAAATTCTTATGAATTTGAATCATAGTTCGAAAACACCTGTTGTTCTTATTTGAAAATCAAATTTCCCACTTGATATCTCTGCACTTTTGATAAATGTTATCAGGCAGATAAGCTAAAAATAGCCTATTTCTTAAGTTTTTATCTCAATTTTTGGCAAATAACTAACGATTCTCGGGGTTCTTCAACACTTGATTTAAATTACTCTCATGAGAAACAATTCCTCAATTGTACCTCCCCCCTTACCCCCACGGCTCTCCATTTACGCCTATCTGGGATAATGTCGATCATAAAGGAGACGGACTTTTAGCCTAAACAACAGTTTTATTACAGAAATAAACTTGATTTCGCCTATTCGAGAACGCGATGGACACGAAGTTAGCTGAGTTGCCATTATTATTTGAGGCAAAAATAGCTTTGTTGATGGTCTTATAAACTCCGGTGCCATTGTAGGAATGAAGCATATGGGTTTTTGCTTGACAAAACTACATAACAGTGTGTGAATAGGCGGATATATATAGCATTTTACCACATCATTTACTGAGTGGGGGTTAGGATAAAATTGAGAGATTCGTGTCATGATGTTAAATTTTAACATTCCATCCTACCGTTAGTTCTTAAAATGATATTTTTACTTTCAACTCCCAAGTTATTTTGAAGCCTTATATTTGCCATGGAAGCATAGCTATAAGGTTGATGAAATTTGTCCTGATAGGTACGATAAACTTGATAAATGGCTTAGCTACTTATCACTTAATCGCTTTATTTTGCCAAAGCAATTATTCAAGTGAATAGCATACCTTACTTCAATAAACCAATATTTGATAAGAGGAATACAATTTTTTCGCAAAATTCATTAACGCACACATTTCAATCAAATGAGAAACTCTATTAGCATTCTAATACTTTACTTCTAGTTCTTGCTAAGTGATAAGGGGATGTGATATTGATTGAAAAAAAATTCAAAGAAGTAACCATTAAGCAAAGACACTTTGAAAGATCATTAAGTAAACAATGAACACATATTGACAAATCAAAATTAAAAACAAATATCCATTGAAATCAGAAAGATATATATTTGACAACAATTTTTTGAGGCTCTTTTCAATTTAAGTTAAAAAGAATTTTTTGTTTCAATTTTATTATTATTTATTTAATTTTTTTATTACTCTATGGCTAGAGTTCAAGCTATGTAGAATGCTCAGAACTGCTTATTTAAGACATGGAGTAATATAAAAGGTCTTTAGGCGTAGTCAATGTACTGTTTCATCTTTCTGTCATTATACTTATGACGTTTGCTAAGGCATTCTTGAAGATGCGTTCGAAATCTCTTCTCTACTTGATTCATAGCCCTGGTAAATCTTGACAAGCAAAATCGCTCAAGAATACCATATTTACTTAATGAAGCCTCTTAGATATTCTCAAATTACTAAAGGTTTTATGGATAAAGTTATCTGCGTTAAAGCACTTCTAACTTTCGCCGAGAATAATTTGCATTTATTCCGATTTCTTGGTTCACGAAATATAATGCAATACTCGGAGTCATTGGTTCTCAAATTACTAAATAAAAGGATGTATATACATATTATTTTAAAATCTTTTGCATATTATTGGGCTAGTTATTGCCAAATAAATTGACAGATGAAATGAAAATTGAGAAAAATGAATTTTGCATGAATTTTGTCTAAATTCTAATGCATCCTACGTTAAATATGGCCACTATTACGAATGTCTAATATTTCATAAAACACGTGAACCGTATTTTTTTTCCAATCCTATGGTATTTTACATGAGAAACGCACTTCTTCACACGTAGTTGCTCTTAACGCTTTTTTTCCTGCAGAAATTGCGCATTTAACATTCTAATTGAACTTGAAACTAGAGAAAACATGTGTTTTTTTCTCTAAAATTTACAAATTAATCACGCAGGTATAATCTCGGTTCATTGCTAGTTGTTTGGCCCAAAGTAGGACGAAGGTGGTTGCTATTTGCATGATGAAGAATTTTGTGCACTTGACATTAATTGAATTAAGTCATGTGAATGCGTTGTATCTGCTGGTAGTCAAACGTGATTTGCAGAAGACCCCAGAGTAAACATCCCGGTTACAATTGTGTTAATTTGTGGCCGATTAGACACACTCGAGGAGATGTCGAGTATTCCCAAGTCACAATGTCACAAAGGGAGTACATTTAATTATATATCTCTCACCAGTGCTGGCCCATCGTGAACTCTGACAATAATAAGTTCTATAACAGTACTTAACGATATCATTAAGCAAATGTCGGATTTAATAATAATCCTGAAAAAATTAAAGGCTATCTTGTTGTTAATCGATGTATTCAGTGCAGAATAATGTAAAATGCCTACGACAGACTCTGAATTCTTAATGTTAGGTAGTTACAAATTATTATGGTGTTGGCATAAAGATGATGATTTGATGCAATGCTCTGAATGGCATTTTCTATCAGTTTTAAGAGTTTGAAGGGGATTTTAGTTGAATGTGATTCTCATTGGAAGGTTAAACATATCTGGGTTTTTGTCTACAGAACTAGGCACGATTGCTTGAAACCTACAGTCTTGCCATGATCTCCATGACAAAATAGGATATTCAAACATTGAAAACAGATCAAATACGTATGAACCCAGAGGGCGGCAAATAGGTAATTTTGAAAACGAAGTGGA